ATAAGTTACCCATCTTAGGGGCTGGGGATTTAGCTCAGCAGCACCATGCCTGCCTTGCAAGGGCAAGGTCCTGAGTTCAATCCCCATACCAAAAAGTGTCCTTGAGGGACCCTTCCCCAACCGTGCAACCAAGCCCATTTCTCCAACATCTGCAAGCAAAGTCCATGGAAGCCACTGTGTAAGCTGACTAGTATTACATTTTAGGTGACTGAACAAATACTTCTCCAGTATGTATCTTGCCGTAGGCATCCAAGGTGCTCTACAGAGTTTTAAAGAAAACAACAAAAACTCTACTCTTTTTTTTTTGTAGATAAGCACTTTTTGCTTTAAGAAGCCAACATTTACCCTAACACATTGACACATCAAATAGGTGCATTTTCCTTTGCATTTTAGGTTGATCACCTCATCTGCTTATGATTCCTAATAACTTAAGGTTTTAAAAAGATTTTATTATTTTATGTTTGCCATACATAACAATTACATTCCGGGTTTCTACACTGAGCACGTTTTCCTTGAGCAATTCCAGTGTCATGTGTCATGGGGTTCAGAGGAAGGGATGGTGCTTCCAGTTCAGGATTACCCAAGGAGTTTATGGGAGATGGGAAATTACTGCCCTGACCTTTTCTGGAAATTCATGGACAAAGAAAGAGATCCTTATTTTAATGCAACCAAATGACTTTTTAAATATCCATGAGTCCTCAGAGTCCTCTAGAAGACAAAGTGATGATTATTCACACATTAGGCCTTCTCAACACACTAGTTGTAGGTAGTTTAGCTTCACATTACTGAGCTGTTCTTAGACTCTGCCACGTAAGTGATGTAATTTCAGTGTATGTATATTCTAATATTTTATTAAAAGGTTGCCTGTAGAGAGGGGATGAGAGAGGAGGAGAGCAGCTCTGAGATCTGGCTCAGACATAAGTAGGGAAAGACTTTCAGCTTTTAGGGCCTCTGAGTACATCCAGTCAGCCCTGCTGTTTTCTTGTAATCTGAGCTTAAACTATTTTGTCCTCTCGGATACCTGAGGCTTCTGTTTAGGCCATAAAATAAATGATTCCCCAAAGTCTTAAGTGGGTAAAATATTGGAGAAAGCCTTTTGCCCCTGGACCGGGAGTGCTCAGTGTGTGGGGAGGAGGGAGACTTGCCAGGTAGTGTCCTGGGCGCCATCTTGGAGGAACTAAGGGGTTTTGTAGTTTGTCTTTAAAAATCTCCATTTCATCAATCTGATCTCAGCTCATTCAATCAGGACTGATATAGTAAAGATCAAGAATATTTCAACAACGTAGTCTGGTCAAAAATCTGACAGCTGACGCACACCACAGCTGAACCCCCAGCTCTGTGGAAGAACCAGCTGGAGAATGTGGGTCCACTCCACTCCTCTAGTTGTTTACACTCACTTATTCCACAGTCACTTTTATTGTCCTGCAGAGATTCTTAGATGCTTTCTATTTAGAAACAAAGGTATTAAGTTTCTTGCAACACTGCTTCTGTTCAATTGGAGATCTAGGCTACTCAAACCGGACATCCTGTTATCACCAGATTTTCCTGGTTCTTGGTGGCCTGAGATTTCACTTGATTTGCCCAGTTGCCTTTGCTTCAGACTGCATGCAAACCAAGTCTTAGTTTTAGAGAAAACAGGTTGTTGCAGGACCAGAAAGACAGCCCAGAGAGAGAGGGCCAGGTTGTGCAAGAGCACAGAAAGGACCAGGCTCCTTTGTCTCTGGTCTTTATTTTCCTACACTTCCTGTCCTCTAGGTGTTCCATATCTTTCTCTCCTGTAAAGTTTCTTTGTTTGGGCCTCCTTAATTTTCCCACACTTCCCCACCTTTAGGTTACTCCTTTCTTTTGCATATGTGTGAATGAAGAGGAAAGTTTGTTTCCTTGGTGGAAAATTCTGTTCTGCTCCTTTACCTAGGACCCTCCCCCACTGCTCCTCACTGTCAAATGCTGTGTGGAGCACATTTTAGCAAGTGGCTTCCAACATGCTCTACAGTGACAGGGAGTCCCACAGATGCCAGCGCACTTCGCTTCCATTTTGGTTCTTACTGTTTCACTAGCAACCTGATTGATGTATCAGTAGACCCATTTTCCTCTCTTGATTCTCTCTCAGAAGTCTTTCTCATATTAATTTTTTTACTCATTATTTAAAAAGTTATACAGTCCAAAATCTCATCAGGGAGCAAAAAACAGTGATTCAAATTCCTAACACTAGTGGCGCACCTGTAATCCCAACTATTTGGGAGGCTGAACAGGAAGATCATGAGTTCAATGCCAGGCTGGGCTACACAGACCTTGTCTCAAAATGAAAAATAAAAAGAGCCGGAGGTGTAGCTCAGTGGTAGAGGCGCCCTGGGTTCTATCCCCACAATAAATGAAAATAAATACATTTCTCAACACTCAAAGTTAATCATTGTTCACATTTTGTGTTTGATTTTGGTCTGTGCTTTTATCTTTCCTGTGCCTGCAATAATTTCTACTATGAAAATATAAAGTTTTTCCCCATTAGCAGGTTAAGGAATGTTAGAATTACGGAGTATTAGAATCCTGCTCATTAACTTTGAGTCTTGCATTTGTCAGGCTTTTGCTACAGTGCTGGCTAACAGATAGCTCCTGTGCCTCAGTGGCTTACACTAGTTCCCTCTGCTTCACCCCAGGAGGAGTGTAGGGTGGGGGGCAGGGTAGCTGTGCAGCGTCGGTGTGTTGTAGGCTGACTGCAAACTGAGCTTGAATGGCTCAGCCCTCTAGTGCTGGTGTAACAACCCTGCAGCAGGGGAAATAAGCACTGTTTATTCTGAGGACATAGGAGCAATCGTGGCCGAGGAACACAGATTCAAGCTGTCCTGAGTGACATGCTCCACTGTGGATGACATTACATGGACTTATCCAGTCACAATCAACACTGCCCAGTTACACTGTCAGTGTACCAGCCAGGCAGGAAGTGTTTTCTTCAGGTCTCTGATGGCGCTGTTAAACTTCAGGCCTGGTGGAAGCTGGAGGTCAGCTAGGCTTAGTGATGTGTTCTGAGAGGGCCACAGAATAGTCACAGAATGGGGCTGGGTGTAGAGTGGTGGGGCAGTTGCCCAGCAGGCTCAAGCTCAAGGCTCTGGGCTCAATCTCTAGCACCACCAAACGAAAAAAAGAAAAAAAAGTGAGTGTGGTGGCACATGGCTGTAATCCTAGCATTTTGGGAGGCTGAGGCAGGAGGATCCCAAGTTCAAGCCTAGCCTGGCCAACTTAGCAAGACCCTGAGTCAACAATTTTAAAAAGGTGCTGGGGTTACAGCTCAGTGCAAAGGCCCTGGGTTCAATTCGCAGTACTAAAAGAAAAAAAAAAGTCATGAGACAGGCCAGATACAATAGTTGAAGTAAATTGCTATTGAAGGGCTTAAAATAGCCCAAGATAATTTTGGCTCCTAACCTACAACATTCCATCTCTCCACAACTGCAGTGCTCTAGTCCACCAAGGTCAAGCAGTGCATGGGTCTTAAACACGGATGCAGCCTGTTCAGAGCGTGCATCCCCAGTGTGCTGGCCTCCCAGGACTGTAGCTGCCCCAGCAGAGCCAGCATCTCCAGGATGCTGACAGTGGCGGCTGTGCACCCACTGCAGCAGGGTCAGACCAGTGCTCTGCCATCCCTCAGGCTCCTGCTGGCCAAGCCAAGGAGATGGGGTGGGGAGGAGCACACCCTCGGCAGGCCGGGGAACTCCTTATTGAACACCGTGGAGGATGGATTTATTATCTCAAAGTTCTGGATGCTGTAAGTCTGAGATCAGGTGTTGGCACTGTGAAATAGAAGTTATAGGAGGCCATTGTTCTGGACTAAGCTCTTGCACAAGGCCCCAAGAGGCCAGACTAAAAATCAAAACAGTGTTGCTAATGCTTCACCAAACATAAACTCAGTTATGTGGCCTGAGAAATGAGAGAGAACCAAATTTGCCAAACACAGCACACCAGTTTCCAGTTCCCACCCACATAACGTAGTTCTCTTTGCCTTCTTTTTAGTCTGTGTGTGGGGGCCGGGGGTGGTAGGAAGTAGTTTTTTGAGCAGGATCTCACCATATAGTTGAGGCTGGTCTCAAATTAGCAATCCTCCTACCTCAGTCTCCCAAGTAGCAGGATTGCAGGTGTGTGGGCATCCACTGTGCCCAGCTTAACTCTGCTTTAATCTTTAACAAAAAAAAAAAGAGAAAAAAAACCTGAAGCAAATTAATGTTAAGCAGTTATTTTCCTGTTGTGTCCTCTGTTTCTACTCACAAGGAAGGTAACTTTGAAGTGATCAATCCACTTTTTGTTGTTTCTGCTTTCTTCAGTCCTTTGTTATCTATAAAACCAAGCTCCTCTGCTTAGCACATTGGAACACTTTATGGCAAATAAAGCTAATTAAAATCTCTTGCATCTCCTTCTTTGGCCTGTAGGTGGCCATCTTCTCCCTGTCTTCAAATGATCTTCTGTCCTATCTACATCCTTTTTCTTTCTCCTCTTCCTTCCTTTTTCCTCTTCTTTTGATACTGGGGATTGAACCCAGGGCCTTCACACTCAGCTACACTTTCCTTTTTTAGTTTTTATTCTGAGACAGGGTCTTGCTAAGTCACTAAGTTGCCCAAGCTTGAACTTGGGGTCCTTCTGCCTTAGCCTCGAAGAAGGCCAGGATTCCAGGCATGTATCACTCTGTCCAGCTTCAGTGGAATCTTCAAGCCTAAAAAAAATCAGTCAGGCATTTAGTTTGACAACATCATGTTCCCCCCTGGGAGCGATGTTTCTGCATCCTTCTTTCACTGCAAACTCTCTGAGGACCTGTGGCTTAGCAGGGCTGTGGGCTCTGCTGGTATAAGACAGCCCTGGAGTTGGATGCCTGGGAAAGAATTAAATAAGTGAGCTAGGAGGTCAGAATTGGGAGTGTCCTTCCTCTGCTGTGTTCAAAGTCCACTGCCCTGTAGTGGGTTTTTCTGTAATTTGTATTTTATAAATTTCTGTAATTTGTCTCTTGGTTGCCCTTCTAGAATGTGGTGTTACGGAATGGGACTGAGGTCTTTCACTCCTGGGAGAAGCCCCCACTGCCTGTATACACCCAGTTCTACTTCTTCAACGTCACTAACCCGGAGGAGATCCTCCGCGGGGAGCCCCCTCTGCTAGAGGAAGTGGGGCCCTACACCTACAGGTGAGTCCTATGCCTCCTGCCTGTGTTGGGCTGTGCCCAGGGATGTTTATGACTGCTCAGCAGAGGGTTCTGGGGACTTCCTCCTGAGGGGCCCAGATGTGTTTATGAAGCCATGAAAAGCTATTCCCCACCCCTACCTTTTAAGGTCACCCCTTGATATTCTCTAGTGACTCTGAGGGTCTCCTTATTTCCCTCCATGTTCTTTCCTCCTGTGATGCTCCCTATCCTGAGTGCTTCTCTTTCTGCTGTAGCAATTCTGTACACTTAAAGAAAACTTTTTAGCCAGGCATGGTAGTACATGCCTGTAATCCCAACACTCTGGGAGGCTGGGGCAGGAGAATCCTGAGTTCAAGCTCAGCCTGGCCAACTTAGCAAGACCCTACAGTAACAGGAATTAAATAGGAGTTAAAATTCTATTGGGCAGTAAGGACAACAGCCCCAAAATGGAGTCAGGAGGCCCAGAATTCAATCTTCTAAATCATGATTCTCCAGAGATCTCACAGAAACACCTGCCAGGTGTCCTTCCACTGTCTGGGACCTCCCTAGAGCATGATCCAGCAGGCCATCTGGCTCAAGAGTGCATGGGCCCTGCATGGGCACTGTGTGAACACTGAATAGATTGGACCCTAAAAAAAATATATAGTCTCCTTTACGGTAGAAATTGTATTGCTTATACAACAGCCTGAGCTCCCTTCTAAACCCCTTAAAAACTCCTAGACAAAGAGTCTTCCTCAGTAACCTACTCAAAACCCCATCCTGGCAAGCACAAGTTTTACTTCCTCGCCTTTGTATGTTTTACTTTTTTGCTTATCTTTTAAATAAATTTGCACCCTACTTCCTTTGTCCACGGTTTCATTCTTTGTCACTGTGAGACATGACCCAGGCACTCTGGTAGCATATCTGGGGGCTCACCTGGAATTCCAAGAGGAGGTGAGTAGTAAAGTCTACACTTTCCTATGCTGTTTGTTTCCACTCCGTGACTTTCTGCTCAAAATAATATTGGGACCCTGTTGACCAATTACAAGGGATTAACCAGAATCAGAAAAAAATGCTGGAGCAGTGAGCAACAACTTAGCCTCTCTGAGATCTGAAATCCAGACGCTGGAAAATAACAACTTGGGGAAGGAGAAAAGAGAAGTAGATTCCCTAGTACCAAGAAGGATCTGACAGGATTAAAATTAAAAAGTCACAGAGAAACTGAAGACACAACATGAAGGCAAGAGACAGTCTATATTTTCTCCCTGGCTCCTGTCTTGCAGCTTGTGGGAAAGGGAACTAAACTTACAAAGTGAATACTGGTGACCCCAGGGGCACTTAGGGAGAAATGTGGTGGGAGAATTGACCAGCAGTTGCTGTGATCTGGTGAGACAGATGGGAATCTGCTCCCACAGGACTCCTTGGATAAGGAACAGCTGGTGAGTGACTCCAGTCCAAGCACCCACCATATCCCTGAAGAGTTTGGTCAGACACCATTCTGGGAGCCGATTGAACTCAGGATTCAGAGCAGCCACAGGACAGCTTCACTTTAGGGATCACCGTGTTACACTCCCACAGTGACTGGGTGAGAGACAGTCGGGAAAGACAGCTGCAGTCAGGGAACACACTGGAAAGTAACCCACTGAATGGTTTGCACTAAAGACACAGGCCTCACCTCTGTGGCCAAAGGCCAGGTTCAGCTTGAGTTGCTCTGGATTTTATTTTATTTTTGTTACCAGAATCGAACTCAGGACCTTGCTCTTGTCAGGAAGGCCCAGCGCCGCTGAACTTCATCCCCGGCCTTTTTTTTTTTTGTTCTGGGAATTGAACTCAGGGCCTCAAGCTTGCCAGGCAGGCTATGTCACTGATGTACCTCTCCGGCCTTGCTCTGGACTTTCAAGTCATGGCACTGACATACTCACCCTACTCCTACTACCTCCTTGTGCCTATATCCAGCACAGATCTGGGATCTGATTGCCTTCTTTATCTACCAGCATGAGCAGGGACATGTCTTGAAAAGACACTGCCTCAAAGTTATAGATTTTGGAAGAAAATGGTACATTCAAAACTACAGAGAAATTTTCTTTTTTTTTTTTTTTTTTCGGTACCAGGGATTGAACTCAGGCCCTTGTGCTTGCGAGGCAGGTGCCAGAACCACTGAGCTAAATCCCCAGCCCTTTGCTTTTTTGTGTGTATCTATTATTTTTTTCTTTTTTCTTCTCTTTCTGCTTTCTTCTTCACTTGTCTATTGTGGTTTAGGGAATTTTCCTTTGTCTTTGCTTCTTTTTTTCTATCACTTTTTCTTCATTTTTCCTCTCCTCCCTTTTAATTTTTCTCCCTTTAATTTTTTCTCTTATTTTTATTCTCCATAATTTCCTTTTTTCTCCCTTTTCTTCTTTTTTCTTCTATTTCTTTTTTTTGGGGGAGGGGGTACCAGGGATCAAACTTGGGACCTTGCACTTGCAAGGCAGGTGGCAGAACCACTGAGCTGAATCCCTGGCCCTTTTCTTCTATTTCTCATCAGTATTTTCTATTGCCATTATCCAACTGTATAAACATCCTTCTATTCCTGAATATCATCCTTTGTCACACTTCTCTCTCCTCCTCATATCATATAATTCAAGGTTTCAAATTTTTCTTCTTGCATTCTCCTACTTCAACCCCCCTCCCTATATCTTTAATATTGTAACCATAAAGCTTTATTAATCTTTGGATAGTTGACTCTGTAAAATTACTGTTGAATTCTTTTTCACCATTAGCAGAGATACAGCTGTCACATTTAGTACATATTAGCTGTAAGTCAATACCAGGGTTGTCTTACTGTCTACAATATAATTGTAGATGTCTTCTCTAAGGTTAAGGCTAGTACGTAATTGGGTCTTATGGTATGTTAATATCCATTTTGTTTTGGATGATACTAGCTGATTTGCTTGATATTACCAGCATCACATAACTGTTGCTGTTAATGGGTTTTCTCTGTAGGTCAATACCCAGATTACTTCTGTAACATTATCAATACTTGACTATATTCCCAAAGAACATGGTGTTGGGCCAATTATACAGCATCATCCCCTCCCAAAATGACTTAACAGAAGTAGGTGAATCTTGGAGCAGAGGCAAAAGACTATAATTAGCCATGCCCAGAGTACATAATTAAAAAGGTGATTAAAGCAATCTCTGTACTAGCAAAAACATCTTTATACTATAAACATCCACAAACCTCAGCACACAACAAACAAAACAACAGAAACATGAGAAGACAAGGCAACAAAATGCCTCCCCAAACTCCCAACTCCCCCAAAGCCAATCCAGTGGGGAACCAGAGGAAGAACAGCATAAGCCACACACCTGAATTATTCAAAAGGATAAAAAAATTATTCAAAAGGATTCAGAGGAGATTGGAAAACAGATCAAAGAGGTACTCAGTGGGATCATAGAAGACATAACTAAACAGATAAGGTAATAATAAAAATGATCCAGGAGCTTTCAGAAGACACTAATAAAAAGCTAGCTGAACTAAAAATGATATAAAACATGAATTAGAGTCCATAAAAAGTTTCAATCTTGAATCTAGGTGATTAAATATTGTATTGAGGGCCGTTGGATTTAGCTCAGTGGCACTGTGCCTGCCTCGCAAGCACAAGGTCCTGAATTCGATCCCCAGTACCAAAACAAACAAAAAAAATTATATCAAGGCCAGGTGTGGTGGCACACACCTGTAGTCCCAGCACTCAGGAGGCTGAGGCAGGAGGATTGCTGCAAATTTGAGGCCAGACTGCACTATGTAATGAGTTCAAGGCCAGCCTGAACTATATAATGAGACCCTGTCTCCAAAAAAAGTTGAAAAGAATTGTATCGAAAGTATGAGCAGCATAAGTGAACACTCTGAGGGCAGAATTTCAGAATAATGATGTCTTCAAAGACCAACTACTCAAAGATACCTTGAAAGCAACATAAGAACATGAAAAATGGATCCAACAACTGCTAGATGATATAAGGAAGACTAAGTGTAACTGGAATAAGTGAAAAATTAGAAGATAGCAAAATGGTATAAAAAACCTGTTCACAGAAATAATGGCAGAAAACTTCCCAAATATAGGGAAAAAAATAAACATAAGTGAGGCATATAGAATCCCAAACAACCATAACCAAAAGAGAACCTCCCCATGCCACATTTATATTCAGAGTACCAGAAGACCATCATAAGGACAAAAATCTTAAAAGCTGTTATGAGAAAAGCAACAAATCACATATAAATGTAAACCCATCAGAATTACAGCAGATTTCTCAACATAAACCCCAAAGGCCAGGAGGGATTGGAGTGATGTGTCTCAAGCCCTACAAATAATTTCCAACCTTGATTTATATATCCAGCAAAAATGCCCTTCAAAATTGATGGAGAAATAAGTGTTTCCATGACAAGGAGCACCTTAAGAAATCATGACCACCAAACCAGCATTACAAAAAATTCTCAAGGCTATCCTGTAAAGAAACAATGACTCTGACAATATAAGTCAAAAAGAATGAATATACTTGGCAGGATGAGCAGATAAGCAAAAGGAAAAAAATAGGAATCAGCAACAGGAAAATAATGCAATGACAAGAATATGTAAGTACCTTTCAGTAATAACTTTCAAAATGAATCACCTCAATTCCCCAATCAAAAAACTCAGATAGGGCCGGGGATTTAGCTCAGTGGTTCTGTCGCCTGCCTTGCAAGTGTAAGGACCCAAGTTCGATCCCCGGTACCAAAAAAAAATTAAAAAAAAACAAACTCAGATTGGCAGAATGGATCACGGAACAAAACAAAGCTGGGGATTTAGCTCAATGGCACTGTGCCTGCCTCGCAAGCACAAGGTCCTGAATTTGATCCCAGTACCAAAAAAAAAAAAAAAAAGAAAAGAAACAAAACCCAACAATATGCAGTATAAAAGAGTGAAAGAAGAGCAGAAAAGAGTAGCTATCCTAATTCAAAGGGATTTCAAGCCAAAACTGATCAGAAGAGACCAGGTCACTACATACTG